AGCAATATAGAGATATGAATTTGTCTTTTCTGCCGTTGCCTGACTTAATGCATTTTTGACTAAGCCCATGTAGTGTGTTTGGCACGCATGTGTGTATATTCCCGTAAGACTGACAGGACTCTTTGCCTAGTAGTGATCGTGATCAAAGCTCAACAGAATTAAAATCCAGTACTTCCTGAAAATTCATGTAAAAACAGTGCTAGTAGCTTTCTAGTGTCTTAAAGTATAATAGCTTATTTTCAAATTAAATTGAATTGCAAATGTACTTCATCTTACTTAAATGCATACTTTTTAGATTGCTTTTTACTTTATGATTTAAATGAATTTTTGTCAGATGCTTCTTTTATTTTAAAGTGTCCTTACTAAAAACAAAATATCTTCTTTGGCATACCATGGTAAAGGGTAAAGACTGCTTGTGTTCAGAGCCTATGATTTAATAGCTGTATGACCTTGGCCAAGGCACTTTACTTCTCTTTGCCTTCGTTTCCTCATCTAAAATGGGAGCATTAATAAGTACTTTATAGGGTTATTGTGAGGACAGAATGAATTAAAATAGGGCCTAGCACATAGTAATTTCTGTGTTTGTGATGGTGATAACGAAGATTGTGGTGTTCAAATCAATGACCAGATAAGCTTCTGGAGATCGCTGTAATGGGCTGCTGAGACATAGGGAAGAATGACCAGAAACAGGGTCTTTGTGGGAAGGGGAGGAAACTTTGGGCTTAAAAAAGAGGACACATTAGCTTCACCAGTATGTCCCCTCTTCTGTGATTTTGCAAACGATGGGATTTAGCTGTTTCCTTTCAGAGCTAAAGAGAAGGTAACTGGAGGGAGCTACTTTAGATGAGTGGGCAGGGGAGCAGTTATTTGATCTGAAGCCTGATGACAAGTGGGTTGGAACTAGATTGTAAAAAATAAAGCCTTATATACTGTGCTGAGGAGGATGGACCTTCCTCTTTAAGCATGAGGGCGTCATTGGTAGTTTTAAAGCAAGGTTGTAATATGATTACACTTGTGTTAGAGTGGCGATTCTGTGTGGAGGGCAGAGTGGAATACACTGAGATGGGAATTTTAAAGACTTTAATAGTCCAAAAGCAATCAAGGACAAGGGAATAATAGAGGGTAGAAACCTTTCTGATCTCTACTGCTGCCCTTCAGCTGGTAATTGAGTGGAAGTATGAAACAAAGAAGACATTCTACAGAAGGTCCTTAGAAGGTATTTAGACCTTGCCCCTGTTCCCCCTCACCTCAACCACATACACACGCCACACGTGGCTAAATATACTAGCTACCTACGATGCCTACATAACATCCTCCTATGCAAGAATCCTTAATTGAGTCCCTACTATGTGAGGCCTTTGTATTTTTTTCTGATTCTAACTATGGTCTATCTATGGCCTATGGGCCAAATCCAGCCCATTACCTGTTTTTTATAAATCAAGTTTTATTGGAACATAGACATGCTCATTAATTTATGTATTGTCTGTAGCTGATTTCACTTTACAACGGCATAGTTGAGTGGGTGTGATAGAGACCATATGGCCTACAAGCCTGAGATAGGTTACCGTCTGGCCCTTTACAGAAAATGTTCGCCAGTACTTGGTCTAAACTAGCAATTCATGCTTGTGGGAAGGAGAGAAGGAACTTTTGATAGCATCTAAGGAAAGTATGTCTTCAGAGAAATTGCCTTACTAGTAAATGACTGAAATTTTTCCAAAACCAGGATGGTTGTTACCAGTTGTTACTCTTCAGTGATTATCATCTAAGATGAGGAAGATATAATTAATTAGGGAAAGCTGTGTTGACTGAAAAAAATGCACAACCTAAATGTTCAGAATTATGTTTTATTCGGTGGCCTTACTGAGGACTATAGCCTGTGATACAGCCTCTCAGACAGCTCTGAGAAACTGTTCCAAAGAGGTAAGGGAGGAGCCAGGATATATAGGAGTTTTTGCTGGGGAAAAAAAAAAATCAGAAGATTACTGCTCATCACAAAAAACAGACATCTCAAGTTAATGATTTTAGCGCCTCTCTATGTTTGGGGAGATGCAGGAGTCTAGGCTTGTTGCAATTATTCCTTTGATATGCATCTTAACTGTCTAGGGCCAGTATCCTGTTTTTCTCCATCCTGAATTCCCCTCAGGAGCATCCTTGGGTGCGGGTGGCTGCAGTGGCTGATGGCTTGATGGCCGCAACATCCTTGTTTACTGACATGGCAAGCAACGTTTTTTTTTGTCCACAGCTGCTTTGGCCATTGGCAGTTTGTCCATTGCCAATCTAAATGAACTGCCTGGTTGTTGAGAGTAGTAACATTTAAATGATATAGGGGTTAAAATATTGGCTTTGCTGACCTAGGTGCAGAAGTACCTGGAATTAGTGAAGCTGGAGAGTTCTAAGGCTCCTTGTCACTTAACAGTAAAAAGGAAAGAAAAACCCAGAAAAATATGAAGATGAGATTTAGGTTTAAAGAAAGTAGAAGGCTATGGGGACTTCCCTGGTGGCGCAGTGGTTGAGAGTCCACCTGCCGATGCAGGGGACACGGGTTCGTGCCCCGGTCCGGGAAGATCCCACATGCCGCGGAGCGGCCGGGCCCGTGAGCCATGGCCGCTGAGCCTGCATGTCCGGAGCCTGTGCTCCGCAACGGGAGAGGCCACAACAGTGAGAAGCCCATGTACCACACACACACACACACACACACACACACAAAAGTAGAAGGCTAATACTGCAGTAAGTTGCAGGCCTTGAGGCCAGATAATCCTGCGAAGGGAAGGGTTCGGGGATATTAAGGATATACAACTAGAGCCCATGATGCACTAGATTACATACCATTGTATTAGGGACCCAGCCCCTCCATGCTTTCCGAATATTATTCTGGTAGTTGGTGGATGGTGGGAGGTTTTGTGAATTACATCAGTAGGATTTCAGTTTCTTGCTGTTGAACTAATGACCAAGGGGATAGAATATTGAATTCCCTTCTTTGTTTTAATTTGTTTGTTCAAGAACTACAGTAACCCTCTTTAGGTTAGGTTAAATTGGGTGAGGAATGTGGGGACCCATGTGGGTGTGCATACATGTGTGTGTGCGTGCGTATCCTCAGTTTTTAAAACCTCCCTCTCCTTCAGGTTATCCAACCTACAAAGAAAAAGTAAAGAAAAGGCCTGGGGGCCGCCCAGAAGTGATTTACAACTACGTCCAAAGGCCCTTTATTCGAATGTCTTGGGAGAAGGAAGAAGGAAAGAGTCGGCATGTAGACTTCCAGTGTGTGAAGAGTAAGTCTATCACCAACCTTGCAGCAGCTGCCGCAGACATTCCCCAGGACCAGCTGGTGGTCATGCACCCAACTCCTCAAGTGGATGAGCTGGATATTCTCCCTATCCATCCCCCTTCTAGCAACAATGACCTCGATCCTGACGCACAGAATCCGACGCTGTGATGGTGATGTTGCTTGAAACCATAGCATGCTACTCTTCGCAGTGACGCTGCACTCTCCTCATCCTGCACTGCAAGGCCGCTCTCTGCAGTGAGACGCACGGATGTTTAGGATATTGCAGTGTAGACTTTTTTAAAGACCAAAGGTAGCTGAATGGTTTTTTAAGTGAGTACAACTCTAGCATCTTGAGGTTCCAGTTATATAAATGTATTTGTTTACCGGTAGGTTTGTGGAATTGGTTCTTTGGGGGACAGTCCTTTTTCACACATCTAGATCTTTTCAGAAGTGGCGGAAATTGGCAGCTGGGGTGCTTTCAGTCTAGGTTGATATTCATCACACCCCAGATAAAATGTAGAATATTATATAGTTGCACTTTATATATGGTGGTTAAGTGGAACTGTTCAAGTCATTTTTATAGTTGTGATGCACAATATAATTTAAATAAGTGCTTCTATCAAAGTGTTCTTTCAGTGAAATGTGTATAGTTTGCTGCCCATGATGAACAAAAAATGAGTATCATTGGGCTTATTTGAATGATTAGGATGAGATTCCATGCCCATATCAGTTATCTCCAGTGCCGTCACATGCAGGGAGTGTGACCTTCAGGTGGTTTATTATCCAGTCGGCCTTACCCTTAATCTGTTCACAGATATTTATTTACTAATGATTTTTTTTGAGTTATGGGATAGGAAGATGAAGTGTTTGCTCTTCATTTACTAAATGATTGTAAACTCGTTTTTCATCAAAATAAAATTCCATTGTTTTAATGTTTCTGATCTTTATAACCACCTTGACCAGATTTTCCATCTCATAATTAGCAGATATCCTGTCTTGTTGGTGTCAGTATAACTAGAAACCAGGTAGCTCAAGGAACTCCAGTTTGGTATATGTGTGAGTGATGAGGCACTTATATTCCCCACTAATTATAAAATAAACTATAAATCCAAAACATTGTTAGAGCTGAAAAGGGAATATTTTCATTTTCTAGCCCAACCTGATATGAAGGATGAAATACCTTTACTAGGTCCTACAGTAACCTTAAGTTTCAGAGCCAAATTCTGACACCAGTTCAGTGTTTTCTCCATTATACTATGATGGTCTGCCTAGCAAATTTTTCATGAAAATGTTTTTGTTTTGTTTTTTTAATATTCTGTGGCCCAATTCATGAAGAAATCAGAAGTATTTAGGTGCTTTGGGTCCAGGGTCACTTACTGTTTGAAGCCATACAGCTGTGAGTAGTAGAGGAGTTGTACATTAGAGAAGCCAGTCTGTTCTATCTAATCTTGATTTTGTAAAATTTCAGAGGATTTGCAGTTTGTGTTTAAGCAGTAACATCTTTCTTTGCTCTCACAGAAACTGAAATTACAGTATAGCAAAAATATAGTACAGCTAAACTAGTAACACAGGGAAATTATGTATGCCCTAGAATTGTTATGAAGGCCAGAAAAGCACTGTAAATGCTTTTGGTGTGGCTCATCCTTAAACAAACACCCACCATGGAAAATTGATGATCCAGCCCTGTGGCATTTTTTTTCCCTGTAGGATTTTTCTATTTGAAATGTGAACAATATTTATAGAACAAGGGAAACATTTATTAAAAATATTTAACTAATACATTATACTTTAACCCATATTTATAGTAAAGGATTCATTCTTACAAGGAAGAATAAACGGTTTTATGATACAATTAGTATAAGAAATATCCACATGGGGAACTTCTTTGTAGTGTAAAAACACCATACATCTGAAATGACCATCTGCATATAAAAGCTACCAATGATGCTTCTGTGCACAATGATTGATTAAAAAATTCAACACAAACAGAATCCAAAATATACAATTAATGCAAGCTATCCACAGCTAGCCCAATAATCATCAATGATGAGGAAACACTGGAGCAGGCTTAGTTCCACTTTGTCTGAAGTTACACATAGTAAGATTGACTTGTATCAATGGCTCTGAGATGGCTTTTATGAAGACAGTACATAAAAGCTGTTCTCTCCTTATCCGGTAAGCTTCACAGACTGTATAACTCCATCAGTAATGCACTTTGATACTGTAGCTGTCGCCAAAGCAACATGTAGTGTTTACAGCGGCCATGGCAAGTCGCTAAAGTCAACAGGACCACCGAGCCCAGCATCTGCTTCCAAGAGGCTCATTATGACAGCCATTGCTGCTTCATCGTTACTGGGACTGCTTGAGCCTTGATCATTGTCTATCATATCTATGCCTATGTGAGGGTTCTCACCTGTGCAAAGAGATGAAGACTGGTTAGTGATAATACCAAAGCATGTTTAACTTTAGCAAGCGGTTCCTAAGCACACTTTTAATAAGAACGTTATACCTAACAGTAGGGTGAGAAGGATGAGAGAGGCTGCTTTTTGGGCGGGGGGGGGGGGGGGTTTGCCATATTTCTTTTTAACGTTGGTGTTTTTCAGAGGGAAGACCCAACTTTTTAAGAAGAAAGTACTTAAAATTCAATGAAGAGTATCAAGTATGAGTTGACCTCATTTTAATATTCTGATATAACCAGTTATAAGGAGAGAATTATTACAGAAGGAACAAAATAGGAAGATAGAGATTAGGGGAAAAAAGATCTAGAAAGCTAAGCAGAGAAAAAGATGGGTGGGGTGGGAGAAGCAAACTCTTCATTGGCTTAATGACTTTTAATGCCCTCTGAAATGCTTACTGATGACCCTTTTAGGCTTTATCTGAACCTGCATGTCTCTCCCTCCAAAGAGATTATGTTCCACACATTGGGAAAAAGCCCGTGTCCAGGGCGCTGTAGCCTCTTGAGTTCCAGGGACAGACCTGGACCCCAGCGAGAACCCAACCATTAAACTCAACTTTGAAGTAAAGATTTAAACAAAATTTAAACCTTTACTTTGTTTTTATCAAGTTTGCCTAGAACTGGTTTGTTTTTCCAGTTCAGTTCTTAAAACTGACTTTATGCCACATGTTTTTTTGCAAGCTCTTTGCATTGGAAATGAATAATAATGCTACTTACCAAGAATAGAAGAGCTATCAGAATATGGATAACCTGGGTTCTCCTGAGCCTGCCCTGGTAGTAGGCCACTGGAAGGAATGTCTGGAGTCCCTCCATTTAAAATCTACAAACAAAAGTAAAGTTTTCACATCAGCAGCAGTTTCAATCAGTATTTTATGCAGTGTCACCAAGAAAAGAAGCATGTTGAAAAGAGGAAGGTGGGGAGAAAAAGCTTCAAATGGCTTCAGTTTCTTATTGGATGATTTCACAACAGAGACTCTTAGGAATGGTCACAGTAAGGAAAAAGCCTCTCCCCCAAACTATTCTTCTCTTTATTGGATTCAGCCCACACAGGCAATTTAAAGGCTGAATAAAATCCCTAGAGCATTCACATGTTTAAGGCCAAGGACTAAACCTCAGGGAGCCCAGATGGGCAGGTCCCCTGTAAGGGAGGAAAACTTCTTACAGCAACAGATGTTGCTGAAGAAGAAAGGGCTGTTACACTGTGAAGAGACACAGCTCTGAGGAGTCGCAAATGAACAACAAAACACTAGAATAAATCATCACTATAGTTACACCACAGATGCCAACATTAGTAACCACTGGTTTAAGTTCTTAAGAGAGGCTACTGAGAAGTATTATTACCACTCCTCAGTAGCAGAACTCTGTCTCCCCCAACTCCCCACCCGCCATGACTGAGTCTCATAGAAAAGCACCTTTGAGAAGTATTTGGATGTAGGTGCGGAAACAGTTTGGTAGAAGCTGGGATTTCAGGAGAGGCAGTGATTTCAGGCCTTGCCAGTAGATGGCATTACAACCTTATCTCCGCCATTCAACTTTTTGAAGAGACTCTCAAAAAGACTTTACACTCTAGAAATTATTGAGGACTCCAAAGAACTTTTGTTTATACAGGCTATATTTATCAATACTTACTATATGTGAAGTTAAAGCTAATACATTAAAAAATATAATAAAACTATTACACATTAACATGAATAGCATTTTAATGAAAAAGAACTATTTTCAAAAATAACGAAAAGTTAGAAGTGTCATTTTACATTTTTTGCAAATCGAATGTCTGGCTTAACAGAATTTAACTGGATTCGCATTTGCTTCTCCATTCAGTCTGTTTAGGTATGTTGTTTGAAATACATACCTGAAGGAACTCTGGCCTCTCATAGATAGGCAGTTAGAAAAGGGAGGTATATTTTAATAGCCTTTTCAAATAATCGTGGTATTCTTTGATATTACATCAAAACTCAGCAAGCGGAAGTTTCTTAAAGATTAGTTGCAATGTGGAGTTTGAAACCATATCAATGAAATTTTGATACTCTTATGTTGAAATCCATTGGTGTATCTTGGCAATTAGGATGGATCTTTTTTACCTTTGCATGATTTTGAAATATCTTACATCAGTCATTTGGAAAATACTGGTCCACTGAGTTACGTGGATCTTCCAAATGTGGACACACTTCATTGTACAACATCAAAACATCACCACTGTTAATATTACCTACATCAGAAATATCTTAAGTTTTGGGAAGCAGTCAAGCTCAAAGTAGCAGACACAAGTTTTCCCCAAAATTCTAATTTTTGCCTGAAAGCTAAAATTTTATCACCGTCAGTTGTTTTCTTTGAAGTCGCAGGTTCATTCATTTTCAAGAAAATGTACACTAAATACCCAAGTCTGAAAAACCATAGTTTGCGACAGTAAAAATGGTTTCCTATGAAAAAGGTGATTGGGTTCGGTTTATAACAAACAGTCGCACAAGTGCTTTTCCTTGAGACAACCATCATACTTCATGTGCAGCACAAGTGCTTTATGCACACTTCCCATTTTGTAACAGTTTTAAAAAGATTTACTCAAGGATTTTATAAAATTTTACTGCTTTATTAAGGACATTCTTAAATGAAGCTGGCTTTTAAATTTATTATTTTATTGTGAGTATACGGTGGTGAAATACACTGTCAGTACATTCTGGTGCCACAGGCTTGATTTTTGTAAAAGCACCAGCAGTCTTACCCAACATTGCTTTTTCACTATCAGTTCACATATCAACACAGTGAGAAAAAACTGTTTAGCATTATTATGAAAATACATTTGACCATGCAGACCCCTGAAAAGATGCCCTCTCCCTAACCCCACCAAAAGACCACAGATGACATTTAGGGAACTGCTGCTTTATCTCACCCTGCCTTGGTACTTCTAGATGTCCAGAGTCTCCTGGAACCTATGAGGCTCACTAAGCCTCCTCTTTTTATTATATTTAGCTTGACCCTAGTTAAAACAACTGGCAGGCTAAATGGCTCATTTTTGGACCTGCCAATTTTGAAAGTGACTGGGAAGGGTTGGAAGCCTGCGGCCACCTTTACTTTTGTGGCTTTGGTACACTATTTAATGCTGTCATTTTTAACTCCATCTTGTTTAGATGCCTTTCTTATAAGGTCCTGCTGCTGATGACTCAGAATACATTCAGAATTTCTTCTCAGACCCACTTTTATAAGCCCAAAGAAAACATTTTCCAAAAATGCCTCAAAAATACTTGGGGCTTTGTGATGCAGAGTATACTTTTAGATCTCTGGCATTTGTTGGTGTGAAAAGAATCAGAAGTCAAGAGACCTGAATTTAGTTTGGGGCAATACTTACTAAATTCTGGGCTAGTCATGTAACATTTGGTAGCCTGGATTTTGTCACCTATGAGGTTGTGAGGATAGATGAGAGATTGTATATGGAAGTTCCCCGAGTAATATTTAAGCACTGAAGTGGAGTGATGACCTTCCAAAATAGAGTAGTGGGATTCTTGGTACCAGGAAATCAAGTGCCTAAAAGTTGAACTGAGACACAAAGAAGAGGATACCGTGCTAGGGAGATGGTAGATCCAGTATGGAGGAAGGACCTAGTGGTGTAACAGAACAGAGCTAAGAGCTCAGCCTGCGAGCAGGGGGGAGGGGGGTGCCCAGCCCAGACTTCATCTGTCAGTACTATCTTCTGAGTCATTACCGAAGACCAGGCACTTTCACATATATACTTTCATAACAGAACTTCATGTGCAAAGATGCTGGCTGCCCTAACCTATGTCAGCCGCATTATAAAGAAATCTAAGGCTTAAAAAATTGTATAGGGCCACATAGCCAGCACATGGCAAGGCTAGGCTTCAAACCCAGACCCATTAATTTACTGGCTTTCAAACCTTTTTGGGGGAAGCAAAACCTTTTTTCAAATAAACACTTTTACAGAAGAGTCATGTGTCAGAAGTAAAGCTTCCCTAGAAGAAGCAGGAGTCTTCCTACCTTGTCTTCCTCATCACCTGCCCCTCGCCCCAATCCTACCTGGCAGCACCACAGCTCCTGGTAACCTGAGTCTCTGAGGAGCCCAGTTTTGGAAACCCATGTCCTGCTTTTGATACAGTTTGTGCCCTATGTAAATTACTCATATTCTTTCTCTGTGTACATGTCTTGGGAGATAGGGGAAGGAAGACTATGTCTCAAGATGCTGGCCTTTGCAGCATCCTAACCTATGTTAACATCAGACACTATAGATTTATGATTTACGATTAACATTGGCCTAGGCTTGTAAATTCTCTCATCAGCACTAAAGATGAAAACAGATTATTGGTTTCTAAGACTATAGTATAGTCTTCTGGCCAGTTCTTCATGAGGGCTGGCGACTGATAAACTACTTGTACTCAATGCTGTCCCATCGTAGGAAACCCAGGCAGATACCTAAGTATTCTGCAACTGCAAAGGCATGACTTGCCTTCCGAAGGACTGCTGGTGGTATCACTGTTTCCAGGACCTGCACTAGACACTAACAATATTTTCTCCCTTGAAAACTCCCGGCAGAGAACTAGATAGTTTTAGGTACTCACTAACCCTTCCCTCACGGGAGCTCTTGAATTCCTCCCTCCATACAATGGACTGATAGCTCCCCAATCCTTAGAAAGATCTCTTTCTGCCTTCCCCCACTCACATGGGATAAATCCTCTTAACAATGTCAGCAAGGCTCCCTAGCTCCACTGGTATGCTTTGTACCTCACCTAACACAGATGCATTTACTTCAAGGAGGAAAAAAGGGCCCTACCTGTTTCAGCAACCACAGTTATATACTCCCACTTCCAGTATTTCAGAACTTGGGCAAGAGCTCTCTGGATGAAGAAGGGCCTTAGTCTAAGAGTCATCAGCCCTACCTTCTTGCCTCCTGGAGAAGAGGCATCAGGGGGAGGTGTACTTGTGATGTTCAATGGGCTGGAGCCACAGCTGGAAGGCGATGACCCTCTTATCCTGTCAGAGAAAAGAGGAGTTAGTTACATTGCCTTTCCTTTTTTTCACTGGAGTGTGTGTGTTTTGTTGAGGGGTGGGGGTGAGAAGAAGGATGAAGATCTAGAATAGGGATTGGCAAGCTTTCTGTAAAGGGCTAGAGAGTGATTATTTTAGGCTCTGTAGGCCATATGGTCTCTCACAACTACTGAACTCTGCCACTGTAGCCTGAAAGCAGCCATAGATGATATTCAAGTGAATGGATATAGCTGTGTTCCAATAAAACTTTATTTATAGGTGATAAGCTGGATATATCCCATAGGCACCTGATCTAGAACACAGATCCTGGAGGCAAGCTTCTCACTGACAAAGCCCTTGGATTAGCGTTTGGATTTCAGGTTTGTGAATTTCAAGTAGGTGGCCAGTTTCATTTGCTCACAGAATCCAGATCTCAGAGTTGGTGGCATTCTATCTTTGATACAGTGAACTAGAATCCACAGCAAATGACTTATTCTCTACCCTGCAAACACGGCTTAGCTAGCGACTACTCAGGAAATGGAGGGTGCTGCAGTGGTTTCAGCCCCACCTAGAAAGTGGCCTCACGTGAGCAGTCGCCATCGTCATCTTCTAAGGCAACAGGTGATGAAAAATGGGTCCAAGCCTTCCTCAGCTAGCTTATTTCTCAGCATAGTAGGTTTACAGAGGGAAAGACTTAGAGCTGTAAATCCACATAAACTCTTGTCAAGCTGAAGGACCTCAGCAAAGGAAGCCATGACCTGGCACCGCAGCTAGAGTTTAGGGAAACTTGAATGGCAGCTGCGTGACCACCAGGCTCTTAGCACCTACATGGATGATTGCAGCTTCTGGGTCTCCCAGGGACCCCTCCACTGCCCAGCAGTCTTAGCTCTTGGCCTGTCCTAATTCTGTAATTTGTGAGTAAACAAGCTCTCGCTCTCTGTCTCTCTCCTGGATCATAAGCTTCTGAAAGGCGGGATACAACTATATACCAGGTGTTCTTCACCCACACAGATGACTACTAATTGCTTACTGAAAAATTGTTGAATGTCTCCCATTTTTCCCTACCTACATCTACGGAACCACTGTTTCCCCAGCTTCCCTATCTTAGAATTGCCTTTTCGTAGTCACTTGTTTCATTTTCAATACCTAGTCCTTGAATTACTGATTTCTCTTTTGGACACTACCATCACTGTAAGGTCGGCCTCATTCCTAGTTTGTTAAGCGCTTACCTTCACCTCTTCCTACTCCAATCCAACTTCCACGATGCTTATTTTTTGTTTTTGTTTTTTTTGGGTTTTTTTTGGCTGTGCCCCGCGGCATGTGGCATCTTAGTTCCCCAACCAGCGATCGAACCCACACCCCCTGCACTGGAAGCGCGGAGTCGTCACCATTGGACCGCCAAGGAAGTTCCCAGCTTCCACGATGCTTATAACACACCACTCTGGACACCTGCTCAGCATCCTACAGTGCACAGGGTCTTCCAATTTCCGTCCAGTCTCAACTGTTCAACATCATTTCTTAGAACTCTCAGCAATCTCCCATCACAGCTGTGGCTCCGTTCTACAAAGAGGCTGCCAAGGTAGATGGCCTGCTTTTTGTGTCCTGTCCACTCACATGCCCATTCCAGCCTGTGCCTGTCTCTTCTAGAAGGAACACCCACATTCATCATAAAACCCAGCTAAGGCCAAGTTCAAACCGTCCTCCCTTGCTTGCTGCAGCCCATGCACTCTTCGTTTTTTCTTTTATCATAAAGAAAATAGGCTTCGCAAAGATTGTAAGACCTTTGCGTTCAAGGACTGTTTTATACTGTCCTTGGATGGTCTCGAGCAAAGCACAGGGTATGCCGGGACTGATCAGCACCAGATTATCAGTGCACACTGCACCCACACCTTCCTGAAGTAGCTTCAAACAGCCACATCCGTCATTCCTGAAGGGCTGGAACAGAACTGTGCTGTTCTGTTATCCCACTGGGATAAGAGCCCCACTGTGGCCAATTAGAAAACAAGGCCGGCCTCCAATTCTCCTGAGAGAATCAGTCCAGTGGCAGCAGGGATCCTATGGTTATGTTCCATTAAGTTTGTATGCCTAAGGACCTGGTTACCACCCTCTCCATTGCCCAAATTCAAATGGACTTATGATTACTGCTTCTCTCTCAATGACTGTTCTTAAAGACTTAATTAACAATTTTTGAACACTCGCTACCATGTCAGTTCTAGGAACTTTCCTGAGTTCTCTCACAATCCTAGGGCAATTTTAGGGAGATAGATATTGCCTCCCTTTTATGGCTTAAGTCAACAGAGTCCAATAAGTTAAATGAATCTCCTAAGCAGAGGCCTAGGACTCAACCCCGATAAACTGCTTCAGAGCTTCTTCTCTTTCATATGGAACAGGAGTTCCGCCCAAGGGAGCTTCTATTACTAGCTGATTTGCTTGGTCTCTATTACTAACCCTAGGCAACTTTTTGACTGGAAGAAGCTAATGTTTTGTTAAGGCCCAGATCAAGGCAGTTCACAGCTCTGCTCCTGCAGTCCTGTAATTTTAGTGTTCATCTACCCACTGGGAAGCTCCTTGGGTCATATACAAAGTAATAAGAAAGTTGAGCCTCCCAGAGTTCCATTTAGCTCTGGCCTGTTTGGGTTTAGCTTCCTTATTTAAAGGCAGGATTTCTCAGTCTCAACACTAACTGACATTTTGGACTGAAAAATTCTTCCTTAGGGGTCAGGGCTTGGGAGGGCTGTCCTGTGACTGTAGAATGTTTAGCAAGCAGCATCCCTGGTCTCTATCCACTGGATGTTTAGCAACAACCTCCCACTCAGTTGTGACAACCGAAAATGTCTCCAGACATCAACAAAACATCCCTTGGGGGGCAAAGTGCCCTGGGGTTGAGAACACTGGTTTAAGGGAACAACTAGGTGTTACTTGCCTGTGGATTTCCATGATTTCCTCAGCAATCATTCGACCTATTTTTCCTGCCCCAGCCCTGGTTCCCCCTGGAATCCCTGGAACAGTGGGGTGGGTCCTCTTTGGGCCACCTACAACAGAGGAATCTGAGAGTGGGAAAGGGGAAGAAAGCAGAGGGAGAAATGCTATTATGTGTTAAATTAAATCCACTTCATCCCATGATCCACTTGAAGTTCAAGCTTAGGGTTGTGCCCTGAGGGACATGAGAGCCACAGCTTGTCAGGAAAAGGCATTCCGGCAGGGAAAAGCTCAGGTTTCCTTCCAGGATCAGAGATGTTGATATTAAAGCTTCTAATTCCTCATGCACTCAACATATGCTGGCCGAAAGCCACTGGGCTGCACACCAGAGTCACAGAGATAAGTCGGCATCCCTGCCCTCAAGGAGCTCACAGTCTAATGGGGAGACACACAAGATAAACAGTGGCTGGAACAAACTGCGATAAGTTTTATAGGTCAGCAAGAAGCACCCAACTCATGCAGGGCCAGGTGCAACCTCCTGGAAGAAATGAACTCTGAGCTCAGTCTTGAGAGAGGAGCATAAAGTAGGTTGGCAGAGAGGTAAGGAGGGGAAAGCATTCCAGGCACAGCAACCAGTGTATGCAAGAGCACTGAGGCAGGACACAACTTGGGAGACTACGCCAAGAAACTCATTACAAATGAGGATGGAGGAGTGACAGATGAAACTGAGAGGCAGGTACCAGTCAGACCGTGAAGGGCCTTGGATGCCACACTAACAGATTTGAACAGTATCCACAGGGGACAAGGAGCACCGAAGTGCCTGACACAGAAAAACACAAGTTCACCGTGTGGAGAATGAACCGCAGTGGAGGACACGGGCGCAGAGGAGGGCAGGGCGACTAGAGTTGGGCAGTTATCTGCAGGAAGCCAAGCAACAGATGGGGAGGGTGAGGTAGCAACAGTGGGGTTGGAGAGGTTTAAAAAGAAGGGACAGGATGTGTTTTGATATAATGGGAGAGGTAGGAGTCACGGTTTCTGGCTTAACCGACCAGACTATGGGTGAGGGTGTGTGCAGAGAACCGATTTGGATGTGCTGAGTTATAGATGCCTGTGGGACTCCAGGTGGCTTCGCCCAGGAGGCCACTGGAAAGGCAGATCTGGAGCTCAGGAATGAAACCGGATGTAGGATTCATCGATGCAGAGGCAGGGGCTGAAGCCATGCAAGAAGAGGCCTGAGGAAGCAGGAGTCAGGTGTGGAGAGCAGCGGCCAAGGCCGAGCCAGGGGAGGGCCCCGCCGGGTACAGCACACCCCGGTGCTGACAGACACCCTCCTCCCACCACGGGATCCCGGCGGCCATCCCCGAGAGCACTTCACATCGCAGCCACTGGGAAGCCAGGGGGAGGAGAGCACAGGCAGCAGGAGCTGCCCTGTCAAGGCTTCCGGGATCCAGGCAGCCTCAGCAAAGGTACAAACAAGTTCCCGGCATTCCAGGCTCAACAGAGAAAGTAAGATGACAGCGTCCTCAGTGATCATCCCCGCGAGGCCTCCCTTGTTCCACAGAAGATGGTGGCCGGGGACCCCAAATACCGGGGGCTCGGGGATGGGGGCCACAAGCAGCTTCTCAGGGGCAAGCCCAGACATCCCGGTGGCACATAGTTACCTTCTCCAGAGGGCAGCGTGCTGTCCATGCTGCGGGGGGATGCTGTGGGCTGAGGGAAGCTTGGGTCCCCGCCTTCCAGGACGTTGGCTCTGTGAACATCCCAGCAACAAGGAAACGTGAGTCAGGCCTGCTCAGAACTGTGCACCTTTCACCTTGGCCAAGGTGTACGGTGTCCACTCTGGACCTGGACAGGCCACGAAATGAAGTGTCTGAGCGGCTCACAGGTCTCCTCACTGTCTGAGGACACGATGGACAGCACCCCGGCCTCTGGCCTCCCTGGTGCAGGTGGGGCGCAGTCCAGCGGAGGTGGCGACTGAAGCAGCCCACTGCCGGCCCCAGCCCCTCGATCGGCTCCGCCTACAGGTGGGGGGTTTGGACCTCATGGGGAAGGAGATGTGGGGAGCAGGCCAAAGAGGAGGGCCTTCCCTTCCCTGCTCACCCAGCAGGTGGCAGCCTTTGAGGGGGCATTCCAGGGGCTCAGGCCGCCAGCCTGGGGGCGCAGATCCTCGCCCCTCCTCAGCCAAAGCCAGTATGGGCTGGTGAGCCTCTCAAGGATTACCAAGCCTCCCCTCCATAGTGATACCAGTGGATGCCAGGCCTGCGGAACGCAAAGGCTTTACCGGGTAGCAAACGCTGCTGTCTCCAGCAGCAATTCCACCAGCCGGGGCCTCAGAGGTATGAGTACTGAAGCTCATCCCTCGTTAACCACCTTTTGGCTTCCGCCAGTCCCGAGGCTTCACAGGATATCAGCAAGACGGCAGTAAAGGATGCAATACTGGCTGTCACCTGTACCCCCTTTCCCAGGTAAGGGGCCCAGGGCATTTCCCTGTGAAGCAAGGGAGCTTCTGATATACGAAAAACACTTACAAAACAACGGTGTTGGTGGAGACAATGTATTCTACTTCCTTGGTCCAAGGGTTCATGAAACTGAACCACCGACTCCGCAGTGTGATGAAAGAACCATCTTTGATTTTAAACTTATAGCAATTAGTTGTAATCTTTTCTCTTGTCTGTAAAACTGAAAATACAAAGAGACTATGAACATCATTGTTTCCTCAGACAAATGCACTAAACTAACCAAATCCTAAGTGCGCTCAGGCTCCAAGGCCGTCCCTCTTTAATAAGCCACGGGAGCTGGCACTTCAGAGAACAGGCTGTTTCTGAGGGTCTGACTCTGAGCCTTCCAATTCGGTTGTGAACCTGCCACTGTTCTTCAGAGTGTATGAAATGAAGGCTCTGGGAATAACTGACTGCATTCTAGACATCTAACTGGAATCAGCTATGAAGTAAACACCACACAACGAGAAGGCACTGTCCAAAGGGCCCATGTTATTTCCCCATCACAAAGCCTGAAGGCAGTACAGCATTTTTAGGACATTTGGATTCAGAGAGGTCACTCACCTACGGAAACCTCATTCTTTCATGTAACAAACATGTAATGAGCATCTTTCATGTGCCAGGCACTGGAGGTAAAAGAGGAGACAGGATGTGACTCCTGCCCTCAGGAGAGGCAGAGGAGATCAGTCTTGAGGGATGAATACAAGTCTGCCAAGGGGAGAGAGGGAAGAACCCAGCACTGCCCGAGGAGTGGCAGGGCCTGGTAGGGCAGGGAATGGAGAGATGGTCAGTGTGGCTGGAGCACAGGCCTCTGCAGGCGGAGATGGGGGCAGGGGTAAAGCTGGGGAGGTGGGTCAGGGCCAGAAGGTGGAGGGTCTTTTGAATGCCTGTCAAGGGTGATTGGGCTTGAGTCTAAAGGCAGGAGGTTTTAAGCATGGATGTGACATTACCAGGCTCGATCTATCAGAGCATAAATGGGATAGTGATGGAAGATGGACTGCGGACAGAAGCGAGTGGGGAGGCCTGTTAGGAGTCCATCACAATTATCAGGTGGGTACAAGGGCTGAACCAGGGTCTTGGACAGTGGAGGTGGCAGAAAGGGGCCTCTTTGGAAATGCATGTCTGAGGTGAATGAACAGTTCTGATGGAGGAAAAAGTAAAGGAGGGAGTCGATGTTGGTTTCCATCTCAGGAGGCTACATATCAGGCCATGCCATTAATCAAGAGGGAAATGTAGGAGGCGATGCAGGGTTTTGCGGAGAAGAATTAGATCCGTTTGGGCCATACGAAACCTTTATAGGGTCCAGATAAATCCTCTGAACAAGAGATGCCTTCTGGAAATTGCCCTGGCCCAAGTACAGAAATCTGCTAGGCAGTGGGGTAGGGGGTTATCCGTAAGGGGCTAGATGGGGCTGGGCGAAGCAGTAGCCTCCTCTCCTCACAGATGTCTTGGCCTGAAGACTCCTGGGCTGGTTGACTCTCACGTCACAGAGGCAGATTTCTCTGTGAGGTTACGTGGACTAGCCTAGAAGCAGGGGGGGCACTTTAAACTTAAGACCTGTCGTACAACCCAGCTTACCTTGCCTATGACATTCTGCGAGATGTCCTATGTCATCTTGGTGAAAATATTCATAACATGAGGTGCCTAGAAGTTCTTGTGGTAAATATGCCAAAATAGCTGTTGCCCTAAAAGGGAATTTTTTTTAAAAAAAAGAAAAAGCCATTCAGACGATTAACAGCATCTGTGCACCGGCTGAATCCCGCTACAGCCAGTGAAAACAAGGTCAAAGCCGGGTGGGTTCAGAGGGCTTACTACATGGGTTTTGCTTTTTTCTCATGAAAACTGACTTTAATCAGGGCTATAAAAACAGAGGGAAAGAAAGCAAAGAATCCTTTCAAAGGGGCTGTTAGCACAAGATATCAAATTTTAGGAGGTTTAAAAATAGTAACTGTATAAGATAAAAATGTGGTAGAACTCTAAACTCCAGGGCAAAGCTTCTCCAATTTACCGGCTGCTTTTTACCAGGACGACCAAACACCAGAAGCTCCAGCAGCGGGGCCCACAAGGACCTTGAGAGGTGGCCGCCTCCTTTTCCAGTATTTAGTGACTATATCTAATAGCCAGAAAAATTACTACCCTGTGAATACTCTCAAGGAGGCAGCAGGGGACAGTGGAAATTTGGGGACATCTGGGTTCTTAGCCCAGGTCTACTGCCGATGGGTTGTGAATTCTGGAGAAGGCCAGGCTTCAGGCTGAGCCTCAGTTCAACCACCATAAAAAATGAGACTGGACTAGATCAGTGTTGTCCAGAAGAACTTTCTGAGAAGACAGAAATGTTCTACCTATGTGGGAATAGAATCTAAAAAAGAGTGGACATATGTGTATGTATAACTGACTCACTTTGCTGTACACCTGAAACTAACACAACATTGTAAGTCAACTATACTCCATAAAAATTAATTTAAAAAAAAGAAATGTTCTGCATGGATACCATTAGACACATGTGTCTGCTAAGTACTTGAAATGTAGCTAGTGAGCCTGAGGAATTGAACTTCTAATTTAATTTAAATTGATTAAATTAAAATTAAATTGCCATATGGGGTTACTATAGCAGATGACTGACTGTATCGACAGCTCAGGACTAGACAAGCTTTTCCGAGTCCCACATGCCAGAATTTCAATCACAGTAATTAATGGTCCTGGAACCTTCCATGGATTCAGATAGCATACTATGCCTACTATTTCTCTTTCAGCCATGGACATCAAACCACCCCACTTCATTGTCTCTACATGCCAAAGAATGACATGGAGAAAAATCTCTGTATTTATGATGATAACCCACTGGGTCTCATTTTTCATCACATACACCCATCATTTCCTTCTCTCTATCCCTAAGAAAGACAGCCAATGGCCCAGTCTTCTCTGCTTTACTCAGGGTTGAAAACCCTCTACCATCATTGTTCAAGCGTAACGTGCAGACTCTTACCTCTGGTCTACGAAAACAAACTTCCCATCTATTGCATGCCGAGAGACATATTCCATAGATTTCACCCTGATTTCCCCGTTCGCCGGTTGTGGAACCATGTGAGAGTGCAGGCGTCCGATGGCGACAAGGCAGCTGAGATTGCACCCCTCGTTGTCTGGTTCGCTGTCTTCGTCCAGCCCCATCTTTGTGGGCGGCCAACTTTTCAGATAGCCTGTGCTGTGGATCGTGCAGAAGCTTTTTCGATCTGCTAGAAAGCAAAGTCCACGGTCAATGTCAGTGTGGCTTTGGGGCCTGGGGGCACAGGCAGCCTAGTCGGGGGATGTAGGTAGGGAATCAAAATATAAAAACCAAAGCCTTACTGTCCAGAAGTTAGCATCTAGTGAGAGAGAAGACAGAAAAAACAGGTATCATCCAGTGTCATATACGCCTTGTAGAGCTGGTTACAGCAAAAGGGCATCACATGCACCAAGGAAGCAGTAGCTAAATCTCCCTGGGGAGAAGAAGGCCGCCCCGAAGAACTATGAAGGAGGTGGATCAAGAAGGATGAGCACTGGGTAAGGGACCAGAATCTGTAAAGGTCTGAGAACATACAAAGGCACAGAGAGGTATCCTGTACAGGAAACAGCAAAGAACTCCGTGTGGCTGAAGGGAAAAGGGAGGCGTTGGGGGTAGAGTTGGAAGGGCAGGTTGGGAGCATATCGTCGGAGCCTTGGATTATTTGCTCACAAATGTGTTAACCTTTTTCAGGTAGGAAATGGAGAGCTTCCGAAGGTGTTTAAGTGGGGAAACAGCAAAATCACATCGTGATTTGGATGTTCTAGGAGCAGAGTGTTGGGTGAACTGGAAGACATGCATGAGGTGCTGAGGACTGTACCATGGCAGTGCCGTGAAGATGAGGCAGGGCAGGACACAGGAGAAATTTCTGAGCTTGAACTGCTGGGATTTGGTATGAGTATCAAAATATTTGGTATGAAAAAAGAAAATAAAGATGACTCCAACTTTTTCAGATTGAGTGGTTAGCTGGTATTATACAATTTATTGACTCAGGGCAGAGAATACAGAGTAAGTTTTAGAGGAGGGGGAGAAAAGATTTCAATTTGGGACACATTAAGTGTGGAGCACCTGTGGATTCCAACAGTAACACATCCTTATGGAACAGTTTACCAAGCATCAGGTCTGTGCTAGTTACTGGGAAACAGTGGAAAACAAATCAGACCTGCCTTTGTGGAATTCACAGTCTAATGGGGGAGAGAGATTTTAAACAAATAACTACATAACTGCAACTGTAAGGAAGTGTCAGAAAGAAACCCTACAGGGTGCTACAAGCAGACACAAGGCAGCCCGAGGGAGGGAGTGAGCGACAGACACTGAGGTCCACTCTAAAGGACGAGCTCGAGTGAGTCAGGGAGGGGAGCTGGTGGCGAGAGAGGGGCATTCCCGTCAGAGGTGACAGAGCATACGGAGACTTTGGGTAGAAAGGGTTTGGAGGCATCAAAAGGAGGTCAGCAAGTCTCAAACGTATGGAGTAGTGTCAGGGGCGGGGGTTTGCAAAGTCACATGAAGGATTTTAAACTTTTCTTCAAGAGCAGCGGGAACCACTGACGGGTTTAAAACAGGGGGCTGATACGAAGATTTGCTTTTATTCTTCTTCTATTTTTTGGCCACGCCACGTGGCATGCGGGAGTTCCCCAACTAGGGATCGAACCTGCACCCCCTGCAATGGAAGCGTGGCGTCTTAACCACTGGACAGCCAGAGAAGTCCCAAGATTTGCTTTTAGAAAGGTCACTCTGGCCACGTGAGGGGCTGGAAAGCGTGAGGAGCCTGCTTCACCAGGCCTGTGAGATCCAGGGTAGCCTCCATCTAGCGATAGTAACAGTAAACATGGAGGTGGATAAACATACTTCAGATAACTTCTGCAGGGGCAATTCATGGCAGCAAGACATTATAACTGACTAGATCAGGAGGGAGGGAAAGGGGGTGAGGGTGCCCCCCAGGCTTCTAGCACGCACAGCTAGATGGACAGTAGTGCCATTTACCTTCGAGGGGAAGCTCAGGTGGTTACTTCTACATATATCACGTTTGAGATGCCCTTGAGATGTCCAAGCAGGTAGATTAAATAAGCAGTTAATTTACAAATCTGGAGTTCAAAAGAGAAGTGCAGGCTAGACATATGAACTTGGAAGTTAGTGGCATATAAATGTCATTGAAAGCTAAGGGGGCGGATGACATTACCTATGGATGCGTATATATCTACTCTTAAGAGAAGAAGGCTGGGGACAGAAGAGGAGGAAGCAACAAGAGGAACCCGGAAGAAAGCCCGGAGTGGGAGAGGACAGGAAGAAAAACACTTCACAATGGAAGAAAAATGAGAAGTGTCCACTGCACTTAGCCACCTGCAGGCACTGGTGAACTTAGAATAATTCTGGTGGGCTCGTGGGTGCTGGGGAGGGAGGGGGCTGTGACTTAGAGAGTATTCTTTCCCAACCACAGGAAAACAAACAGGACTTAAACAGAGGGAGCCTTCCCACAAACCTGTGTCATCGTGACACCATCAGGGCCTTCCAGCTCCCCCCCCCGCTCCCCAACTGCCCCCATTGAAGGGGGGCTAGTGAGGTCCTGGCTGCAATCCTGGGACCCGCTGCTCTGAGCCCACCCCCTGCTGAGCGCTCCACCTGTGATAGGATTTAAAGAACTGTTAAGTGGTTACCTTTTTTCTTTGAGCAGGTGGAGGGGAAATCCTTGTCTTCAACCTTTACGGAAGGCCTGTTACACTTCATCCTACAGAAGAAAGAACGCCGTGCTCCAGAACATAATCGAGATGGCCCAGGGGTTATATCTGTTTTAACTGGAAGTCCAGCTGCAAATCAATACACAAAATGTGATAAACTGAGGGTAGTGTTGTCTGTCAGGAGGGGGAGTGTGCCCTTGAAGAAAGTCTTTTCTTTCCTGCCTCGCTGTTCTGTAACAATGACGTGACAATAACCCCTCTCCTCAGTCTAGGCCTTAACAGGTGCTGTATGGACAGGGGCACTGTCAGCCCGGAATGCTTACAGGTCACAAAGAACACGGCGACTGAAGACTGGACTAGGTGCTCCAGGGAATAAAGAAATACACACAGGGTTCCTGTCCAGCAGGAGTGGACGGCTGAGAAGGGGAGATGGAAGTTCACCAGGAAAAGACTAATGAGAGCACAACGTGACGTATGAGTGATCAGTGCCAAGTAAATGGCAGAAACAATCGGTGTTTCCCAGAGGCAGAAGCAGGTGGGCTGGGACTTGGAGGATGGGCAAGACCTGGATACTGGAATGGAAAGGAGGCAGCAGGACTGCCTTCAGTTCTCAACCCTGGCTGGATGCCAGAACCGCTGGATGCTTCATCAACCTGCAGGTTCTGGGACCCCATTCTAGACCTGTGCTTCCCAGTGTGGTGGCCACTAGCTACAACACAGCTATTGAGAAGCTGAAATTGGAGGTGTGCTGTACGTGTGAATAAAAATAGGATTCCAAAGACTTAGCACCAAAAAAAAATGTAAAAGACCTCATTTTGGATTTAGTGTTAAATAAAATACAGTATTAAAGATAATTCCACATTTATTTTCACTTTTTTAAACGTAGCTACCAGAAAATTTTAAATCATATAAATTTCACATATAAACTGGCTCATATCTGTGGTCTGAATTATGGTTCCGGACCAACTGAATTAGAGTCTCTGGAGAAAAAGCATGACTGTGATCCTGATAGAAACATGGGCTACTTGTCGGTGCAGAAGCCGGGGCTGCAGATCACGTCTGGAGGGAACAAGCGCCCACTGCCCACCGCGGGAGCAGCCATCACAGGAATGGCTACTGCCGGGGGCTCCTCCTGGGTCTCCCTGCTCTCACCTACCTCCCGCACTGCTGCCTTAGTGATCCTCCCCCAATGCCAATCCGAGCCCGCCCCGCCTGGTTCACAGCCCTTCACTGTGTCCCCACAGATGAAAAGGTCTTCGTGGTCCAGCCCTCTCCCTCCCCTGCATGTTCTGTTCCAGCGGCACCGGCAGCCCACAGCACCCCACGTCTGCACCAGTCCACAAATCATTTCCTCTGCTCCTTTCCTCCCTTCATCATTTGGCAAACATTAATTCATCTTTTCAAACCCACCTGGAGCTGTCACCTGCTCCGTGATGCCTGTACCCACGCCCACGTGAGAATTAATCATCGTTCTCTATGCCTGGTACTACATCTATGGCTGCACCTATTATGAATGGCACTGTCTCCTTGTCTCCCTGACTACATGGTAAGAGCTTTAGAGGCAAGGACCAAACAGCGTTCATCTTTCTCTTCTGAGGTCACTAAAAAAATTGCAGGACCATACTATAAAGGGCAACAGGTACCAGGGACTGCATTGTACTTACAGGAAGAAGAGGAGTGCCTTAGTGAAAAGGATGATTTAAAGGAGATTCCTCTGGTGGTTATTTCCTTCCAGAGATTACAATGGAGAGCTTGGAAGCAAGAAACTAGTTAGGCTATGATGGCACTGGGCCAAGGTGAATATACCACGTTGTGCTTACTCTGTGCTGGAAACTATGTACTCCGTTATTAGCATATTAAATCCTCACAACTTGATGAAATAGGTAACATTTTGCAGATAAGGAAGCGGAGGCACAGAGAGGTTAAGTAACTTGCTCAAGGTCACACAGCTAGTAAATGGTGGAGCCAAGATGCGAGCCCTGCATTTGACTCAGAGTCCAGTGCTCTTAACTGCTGGAGTGCACAGCACCCCCATGGGGCTGAAGGAGAAGAGAGCTTCTGTGGCCTCACACAGGAGGCAGGGAGCGGGTGCAGGAGCAGGAAGCTGGGGGAGAACGTGAGTGGTGGCTCCACTGCTGCAAGAAGGAAGCAGGGAGGCGGGCGGAAGGGCGGGGCAGGGCATCTAATGAAGAACCACTTTGGTCAAAGAAGCGTCATATTTACACTTGAAGTTTTCTTACTTTCATCTTATGAGGCTGCATGAGTGCAACTCAGATAAATAGAGGTGATTTTTTTCAGGGGGAACAAATCAAACTGATGTGAACCCTTTTAACGCAGGAACATAACAACTTGGAATTTCTAGATTCTGAAAAAAAAATGACTAAAAATCAGAAAGAATCAAATGAAAGTAGCTGTTTTTCCTCTCACGAGTTTAGACATTGAATTTTTTTCTTCTTTATGTAAAACAAAAGAGAAACAAACACAAAGTAACATAAACAATCCCACTGAGCCAAAGACAGCACCTGGGACCCAGATAAAGGGCAGAGAGGTAGGAACCCAGAGGCTGAGGTCCGCACACACTGCTCAGCCCGGCGCTCAGCCGTCTGGGCAGGCAGCTGAGGAAGCAGCGGCGGATCCCAAACTCACTTTTTGCATCTATGAGCCGCTCCCGGGGTGCAGTGTCAGAGGAGGAGAGCTGCTCCTTGACTTTGGCGATATCTTTAGGATGCAGGTAGTCAAATAAACTCTGACCAATCAGATCATTCTGTGGGAATGTATCATCAGAAAGGACAAGTCAACGGCACGTGGAACATACATTAACCACCAAGGGCTTGGCCTTTACTCTGCATTTTTAAGCACGAGAATTTCAAATATTTCATGTGTTAACATGTACACACGTCCAGTCACTTTGCCTAGATATAGACACAATGAATGAGGCACTGGGAGTGTGGTTTTGATAAGACACGAAGGCAAAAGGGCTCAACCACATACATAAATAGTTCATGCGCCTCTAAGGCAAAAGTCTTTCAGTATGTATTCCTTTTCATTTATTTCTGAGGCCCACAGATTCCCTTCTAAGACCTCAGAGGGAGGAAGGTAGGGCGTGGGCTCTGACTCTAGCTCCATTAAACCTCTGTTCTTAAACAAGTTGTGTCATCCTATTTGCCTCACTAGCCTAATTGTTAGCAGAGATAAAAATAACTTCTTCCATAGCTTCGCTCTAAGACTAAAAAGAGCAAAACACCTTGGAAACACTAAATTTACATTAATTCTAATTTATATAAATGTTATTTTGATTCTGCAATTCTTCTGCTTTACTAAGTTTCCATGCAAATACCAGCATGTGAATGAGTGAATGAATGAAAAAAACGAGTAAAAACTCTAGGGACAAAATAGGTGAAAAGCTCTGGTCTAGAAGCATTTATAAATGGTTATCTTATATGATCCTACAAACGGTCATAGATTGTATGGATTATTACAATCATTTTTTGGAGGACGCTGAGGTTCAACAGAGCTAATAAGTGACATATCACTGTTAACACAGTATGGGTGGATTCCCATTTTTCTTATTCCCTGGTATTGTATTGTCTGCCTACCTGTCTTCCTTGTCAGACAGCCCCTTGCCCCCCTACCCCTACACTGTGGCCTATTTATCTTGCAGCAGTGAGAAAGCTACAATGCTGATAAGGTCGAACTTCCCAGTGGGGGAAGCACATTAAAGGAAGTTTTCTAAGTTTATATTCATTTCTGTGTAAAGAATCTTCTGGAAGAAGGATGGGGTGGGGGAATATATAAGCACTTCACATGTCACTTGTCCACCATAATTATTCTGAGAAGTGGGGTGACCTTTTTGGCTGCTGTGAGGCTGCCCAGCACCAGCAGCAGGAGCAGTACCTGGCTGTAGTTGAGGATCTTGAAGACAGACTCTGACACAAAGAGGATCTTCCCTCGGTCACATCCTACGACAAACAAAAATCCATCTGCTGCCTAATCAGGAGAGATGGATAATCAATTCATCACTTTAGGAAACATGACTTATAGTCACTCTGATAGCATCCAAAGCACAGGACTGCAGTCATTGACAGTTTCACAGGTATCCTGAGAACAGGATGTTCAGAACAAATGCCTTCCGAGAATAGTAAGATTCTCTCCAAGGCAGATACACACACATGTATTATCTAATGATTACAGGGGAAAGTGCCATTAGAGTAAGTTCTGTTTCAAAGCAGAACTCAGCTTAAGAATTTTCCTTTGATTGCATGAAGGTCCAGAGAAATACATTTCATTGCTCTAAGTATAACAATGCTGTAATATCATAGAATCTGAGAGCGGAAGGAAACTTTAGGATCAGTACCCCCTGGTCCAATATCGCAGCCTCCATCTGTCCTCAACTCAAACACCTCCATTTCCAGGGAGCTCTCGGGAACAGTGGTTCTCAACATTTGAAGTGGGGTTTGCTTTTAGTTTTTTATGCTGATGGTCTGGAACGGGGCTAGATCACTGGTATGATTATTACCCCCTCCCCGTCCCACCCTTACCCCCACCCCGTCCCACCCTTACCCCCACCCCAAAGTGATTCTAACGTACACAGGCTCGAGAAGTACTGCTCTCAAGTATTATCGCTTGACCCAGGGCTAGGCTGTTTGTATCCTAAATTATACAAAAAAAGAAAAGCAAAAATTTCCCCTGAATTTCTTTTCACCTCTTCTTCACTTTAAATACAGGTAAAAATCCAAAGGGCCAGTAAAGATAGGTGTGGAGACAGGACAGTATTTGCTGGATAAACTGAAGCAGGTAAACACCAAAGCTACGGTACCTGAGAGCTTAGGATGTTTTGTGCATGTGTGACTGAATCCTATCCACGACTTTCCAGGCGGGCAACTACTCAACTCCTGTTGGGGCCTTCCCGGTGCCAGGGAGGGTGCTCCGTTCTCTACCATGCACTTGCTCTACATTCAGCTACCACGGTCTAAATCACAGTGCGTCATTATCTTGCGTTATTTGCTGGGCCGCAGCCTGTCCTTTGGAAGAATCTAGAGAACGCTTTTCCACAAAAGGGCCTTCGGGATGCAGTTTAATTCAAAGAACTAGGAAATGAATTCATGTGCCAGAAGGTAACAGAATGGTACATGCACTTGTGCTGGGATAAAAGAAGTGAGTAAAAGGGGAACAGATTCACTATTGCTGTGAGAGGGCTTGGCAGGCTGTCCTGCCAGAAGGAAGCTGGGGATGATCCTTTCCTAAGTTAGGTCTCTGAGCTGGCCCAGGGGCAAGGGATGACGGTGAGGGGGAAGCAACTTCCCAAGCACCATCTGCTGGAAGCCTCATTCTGTCAAAAGAGAGAGTATTAATAACTTCCTCACTTGCCTTGCTGACAATCTTATATCTAACGAGAGAAGAGAGTATTTTGAGGCTTTTCATTAATGAAGCGATGTGGCACAAAAGATGCCTGGGAAGAAGGTGCTCGTGACATCCTGGAAAAAATGCTGGGCAGAGTCAGGCCCAAACTGGTGACACGAGTGCAGTGGATTTGAACACATGCAGGGGAGGGAGAGGAGGTTCCAGAGGCTGGTGAACACGGTTAGCACAGGGGAGGCACAAAACATTCCGACACTGCTTCACTCGGGCAGATAAACACCGGCAGGTGAAGAAGCTGGGGCTGAGGGGACAGCCAGAGGGCAGAGGAGTGAGACACGAGCACCACGGGGCCAGGAAGACCAGGGCAGGCTCGCCCTCAGGGAGGACGGTGTTAAGTTAATGAGTGACACGGAGCCCAAGCAGCCGCCACGTTTTCAAAACTCGGGACATACAGGATTCAGACACTCTAAACTGACCAGGTTCACTGCTCCTTGACACGCCGGTTATTAAAGATATTTTGAAAGCACTTAGTAAAGAATGCCATTAGTCAGATTTGCACTGGTAAGGAAAACTGGAAGTCCAGTTCCTGCTGCCAAACTGTTCAAACATCATCTGAGTGGACCCTGCCATCTGTTGAAGCAAATTCCCAAGAACTGGGCCCCTGGAAGCGGCAAGGAATCAGACAGTACTTCACAGCCACTGAGATGGGCCAGAGATGTGAGAAAAGTTCCATCAGGGAAGACAAGTCACCACTGACGTTGTCTGAGAGAGAAGAGCAGAAAAGGCAAGCCCAAGATAAAGTATTTAGCTTGGATAGCATTAAAACTCTTATTCCAGACCTTGATAAGTGTGGGCATCTAATAGGAAATCATTCAGGAAAGCAGCAACAAGACAATTATTAAGCACTTGTCATCACAAAAAGAGCTGGTTTTATACATATACATACATATATATTTTTTTCTTTAAAAACACCAAATTTGGACTTCCCTCGTGGTGCAGTGGTCGAGAATCTGCCAATGCAGGGGACACGGGTTCGAGCCCTGGTCTGGGAAGATCCCACATGCCGCGGAGCAACTAGGCCCGTGCGCCACAACTACCGAGCCTGCGCTCTAGAGCCCGTGAGCCACAGCTGCTGAGCCCATGTACCAAACTGCTAAAGCTCCCGTGCCTAGAGCCAACGTTCCACAACAAGAGAAGCCACCACAATGAGAAGCCCGCACACCACAACGAAGAGTAGCCCCCGCTCGCCGCAACTAGAGAAAGCTCACGCCCAGCAACGAAGACCCAACACAGTCAAAAAAATAAAATAAAATTTTAAAAAGTACCAAATTATCAGTATGGCAATTAGGACCAGCTACATAATCTGTAGGGCCCAGTACAAAATGAAAATGTAGGGACCCTTGTTCTCAAATACAATTTTCAAGATGGCGACAGCAGAGCATTAAACCAAGTGCCAGGCCCTGTGTGACTGCATAGGTTGCATGCCCGTGAGGCCAGCCCTGCTGGTCTCTCTGGAGATGCTGCAGGTATAGTTTACATCTTAACTCCAGCAAGTCCTCCCTGAGAACAAGGACATCTTTATGAAAAGGATGGAGAGGTGAGGGCAGAGTTGGGTCTTCCAAGCATGCCTTGAGAGGTAACCAAATGACCATCGCCAACTTCCTGAGAAGCCTTGGTCCCACCCTACAGTGTTTATCAGTGATTGGATGTTTGTAGGACAGGGCCATGCATAACCAGTAAGTACTAAAGTGTTTGCTCAATTAGCTAATGAATGAAAATGGAAGACAGAAGACATACCTATCCAAGCTTCAACTCACATGAAGCTCTGAAGGATCGCTAATGATAAGCTGGAATATGGGACTATCCAATAAATAGATATTTATTGGATGGATAAAAGAGAAGTTCAAAAAAACTGCACCTACGCACGATGGAAAAAACCTGGCCTAACAATAATTCACGTACAAGAGAGCCGGGGAGGGCCACTATTACAGCTACCCCGGATGTGGCACTAATAAGATGGCTTCTACTGCAAGGGAGGCTACCAGGCCATCCAACCCCAGGCCAATCAGGCCACAGCTAGAGTTCCTTACTGGGTTGTGGCAGCCACTCCTGGAGGGAAATCTAGCAGACGGATGCGGTTCTGTAAAATATGTGTGGCAACCGCTGCTCCCGACCCCCTTCTCTCCTGCCTGCGTCTACGATACTTGTTCTGCAACATGCCTTGCAGCTATGGGGGACCAGGTGACATCTTCTGGATAAGCTGAAGTCCACTACTGTGCTTCCAGGAAGGTGCATCCTTTCTTGGTACAAAAGACGGCTGGCCTGGAGCCTCCCCTGCCCTTTTTCTGGCTGATCCGCTACTGAGAGCTGGCACAGGCCGTCTCACTCCAATGAGGCAACAAGCTACATGCTAGCTCAGCAGGGTTGTGTGAGAGGACAGAAAGAGCCTGGTTCCTGCTGACCTCACTGAACCTCTATACGAGCCCCTCACAGCCTACCCCAGGACTGGCTATGCTGGAGAAACAAAGCCCTGTTTATTCAACACGTCTTCTGTTCTTTGCAGTTAATACAGCATGTCACGAGGGGATGGATAGAGACTATTGGAACGAGCAGGCAGCCCAGGCTTACAGAGGGCCTGAAGCCGGGGTGAGCTGAAAATGGGTAGCGAAGATGCAAAAATGCAGCTGGACTATCCTCTGTGCTGGGGCTTTGCAAACTTCTGCTCAGAGAAGTGAGGTCAGCCCTGGCTGCGGCGAGATGGGGCAGGTATCCTTGCCTTAAGTTAGGCTTCTCTGTTTCTCTTTTCACAGTTTGCAAGAGGACACATTTCTGAATTTGGTGTCTCTCCCTTCAATTTCCAAGTGAATCTCGCTCTACCCAGAGCAGACCTGACTCAGCACAGAAGCCAGGTTCCCGCAGTGCCACCTCAGCTGCCTCTCTGCAGAGCCTGGCAGGAGAAAGTGAGCACTGCAGTCACGCAGGTGAAAGCATCGCCTCCTTCACTTATTTTCCTCCTCAGGCCATGGTGTCTTTGGAAGCTTGTTGTTTTGATGGAATTTTGGTATAAAGACTTAGGTGGCTGTTTTTGTGCTAGTGGTTAAGTGATGAGAGAAATTCTCAGTTGCTCTCTATTTCAGTCCCTTTCTAAAACCTTCCTATTCAGGAAGGGGATTCTTCATTACCTCCTATTCTAATAAAATCTGCTCTTCTTATTTAAAGTCCCAGTAGCATAGACCTTCAATTTTTGCTTGAGCAAGGGTAGAAGAGGAGGGTCTCAGGGAAGAGACGTGAAGCCTGTTCAAACAGTAAGAACAAGGTGGAGGCCCCAAAAGAGGAAGTGAGCCTAAGCAAGTTCAGTGTTGAGACATCAAATTCCCACACGCTGGTACTTAACTCTGAAATTTGTAAAAATAAATGTTGTGTAAAACAATCCCATAATTGCAACATACCCTGAGAATAAGGTGTTTCAATTCATCATCTGATAGAAAGGTCGGTTTGTAGTTTGCTTCTGTGTATGGATTGGTGGCACCTTACAGGGGAAAAGAGAGAAAGCGTTGGAACACTGTATTTTCAGATGTCTCATTCCATTCGACTGCCTCAAACCTTCCAGATGCGGCCAGTCCTTACCACCTGGGATCTAAATTTTGTCTTCTTTTTCCTTAACAGAGACAGGGCTAGATCTGACTTTGGACAGGAGCCTCTAATGCCAAAGAGAATTCCACCGAAAAGCAAACACTGCTGCCCACAGGAGACTTAGCAAGCTTGCTTTTGTCACTATAGTGAAAATCAGGAGCTGACACAAGTTAAAAAACTGCTTCTAAGAGAGAAGGCAGCTCTAGAAGCAAACTGGTAGAGACTCCTGGGAGGTTCCCTCCTCCCAAGATCTATATTAAATGGGTTGTCTAGCGGTTGCTCAAATCTCCACTCTAAATGTTCATGGGAAATCATCCAGACTGCCAGGCCCTGAGTAAACACCCTGTAGAAGGCATTTACTGAGAGCTCCTCTTCATCAGGGTTGAATTAAATGAGCTTGGCAACCCAGAGAAATGCATTTCTTCAGTAAGTGCAACTCGAGCTCCCAGGACTGGAAGGCACAAGACTTATGTTTAAAAGGCTGTCAATCTGGCATCTTTCAGGAGAATAACTTAGAGAAAAATGCCAGCAGGAAATGACTTGAAATCTGCAGAATGGTTAGTAAAAGAGTGAAGAAGTAAAATGAAACGATCCATAACAATTCCAAGTACCACCAGGAAGGAGGGAAACAGAACGCGTCCTGACTTTCATATCAACCAACAAGGCACATGTTACTGACCCACGTCCCTGCTTTTTAGGGTAGCTTGAGCTCTGCCACTCTTTTCCTTCCAATGTAATAGAAATTAGTTATGATTTAATCTCTATCTTCACTAATATGAATTTTAAAATGCCATTCTCCGGGCAAAGGACACAACATTTATATTTTTGAATAATGATCAAAAGTCAGACAAAACCAGCTACTTCTTATTTCCGGTGGCTTTGTAGAAATATAAAAGACGTAATTCTTTTACCACACAGGTCAGAGATCTGAGTGAGCGCCCACTTTCCAATTTCCTCAAATAGTCCAAGACTAGCTGTGGAAAATTCCAGGAACCACATTCACTAAAGTGACTGATGCAGTTCGGATTTCTCCCGTGGTGTGGATAAGTCACTTCCACGTCTCTGCCTCTGTTTTCTCACCCTCCCCGCACTCAGAAAAGAAGGAAAACACTGCTTCCCTCATAAAGAGTTGATCTGGTTTGGGAAAATTCCAGGAAGATGAAAATATCATCAGTGTTCATTCCTGACGATAAAACGCAGCAAGTCCCACCAACCAGTGACTCACTCTTCAAAAGGAACCATGATGAATTTTCCTCTTCAAAACTGAAACTGACTTTCCTGTGTCACTAAGGGCACCTACATTTCTGATGTATAGCATTGTATGGGTGGGGCCCAGGCACCACATATGCACAAGCTAGCACTTCAGCAGTGTCCTCTCTGACATGTATGTGCATATACACACGCACAGGACATAGCCTCCACCCTCTGGAGATGTAGGACAGCAAAACTGCATCTTGATACCCACAGAAGCTCAATAATCGTTTCATTTGGCATCAGGTCTATTGCTGAAAATGACAGGCATATTACTCAAAGCTACACATTTGCAAGTAATAAACATTTGTCCCTAAGGAGACTCGGGAACATTCTAGGAAAGGGTGGTAACATTTGTGAGCAAGGGCATAAAGGACAATAAAGCCGGGATCTCACCTCGTAATGTTTTCATGTGCTGAACCGCCATCCTCAGCACAGTAAGTTTGTCTAATTTCCTGGACATCGCATTGCACGTTGGTACCAAAGAAGCCAGTTCATCAATAAAACTGTTCATTTTATCCCGACGCCTCTTTTCAATCTGGCTGTGAGCTTCCCTGAACAACAATATGAAAAATGATTTCTGTAAAATGTAACAGGGCATCAAGGAAACGATGAAAATAAATCGTAGCTGTTTTCAATATTCATCTGTCAAGGCAAATTTAGAATCTGCAGAACGTTTCAAACTAGGCCTTCCTACTGAGGTCACCCAAAAAAGTGGGCTCACTGCCAGGTCAGTATTAGGTTTTTTTTATGCTCACCCCATCCTTAGAATTGAGAAATATTACAAAAACTGTCTTTTCAGAGTAAACTGAGCTGTTAATTTCTCCTCATTTCTTTTCCTCTGAGCCCCGATAAAGTTGGATTTTAAGACGGGGGTGAAGGAAAGAAGTGAGGTGGAGAATTCAAAGGGCAAAGCATCTGGAACAAACATCTGTGAGGGCGCCATGCTGAGCTGTCTCTGAGGTTTGTGGGGAGGCTGCTGTGTGGCCTGTCGGAGGCCGACTGATTGAGATACCAGGTAACTAACGCCACCGTCCTTGGATCGGCCGTGACCCCACCTAGACACAGCACTTGCTACATCTGTCCCCAAGAGTTTCCACTGAGGAATGTCACACGCCTTCCTCCCTGGAATTGCTGCCTGCCGAGTCAGCGTGACACTTCCATGGGCACACACTCCCTCCCTGACTGGTTTGCACCTGTCATTCGTGACTGTCCCCCTCAAGAGGTGTGTCAACAGTGGAAACGTAGTTTGCTGCCACTGCCATAGCAACAGAACCATGGGATCTCTCGCCAAAGCTCATCCATGAGGGAAAAGCCAGAAGTGTCGGGTCAAATTCTGCAGCCCCTGGTTCTGTGTCACGATACAGACTCAAATGGCCCTGGGGCTACTGGCAGGAGAGCTCAGGATCTGCATGGAAAGGAGTCGCAGGCATGGTTGGAAGCAGGAAAGACGGAGTTAGAGAATCTCCTTGAGGGAGCAGGGCACCCCCAGGTCTAGCCTTCAAGTGCACCTTGCAGAGCAATAAGGGCACTTTCAGAGGCTTGGGACAGCCCAGGGAACCGAGTCACTGAGCCAGGTCTTCCTGAAGGGCCCTGAGTCAGGAAGGAGTAACCTGCTGAAGACGGAGAAAACCTTTAGCCTTGATTTATCTTCTGCTCCCTCCAAAGCCCCCTTCCGGTTAACTGTGCTTAGACAGCAAAGAGTGAAGGCAGCTCAGCCTGGAGGGATGGAGGGAGGGGCAGAAGGCCACATCAAGCCTGGGCCCCCCATGCCCTTCCTCCTTCCCTAAGGACGTGACAGTGTTGAAGACCGTCTGACAGACAAGGACCAGATATGCAGAGCCTCCCTGGCTACACACCAAGCAACCAAACCAGGACAGTTTATAGACAGAATGAGGGTCCAAGCTCACCTTGCATTTTTGATCCTTCCTTGGTGCTCTGTGTATTCTAACCTGGAAAAAAAAAAAAGAAGAAACACAATGTCCTGGAGATTGACAACAGAGTTACACATCTGTTTTCTTCCCTGCCTTATCCCTGTCACCTCTACCTGACACACAAGAGCTTTGGTTGTTGGCCACACTGGGGGTGGAGGGAGGGAGACAAGTTCAAGCCCATAGGCTCAAGGCCTCCTTGCTTATCCCTAATCAAGGACATGGATGGAACCTGCACCAAGTAATAGAATGTTTAATTATGCAAAGAAAATGGCTCTAAGGATGCTGAAGTTCAAATGACTAGATTCATGGTACCTTCCATGAGGGTCATCTTTGTCTGTGTCCATGCTTTCTCTGAGAAAACAAAAGAGAATGTGACTGTTAAGACATACAAAAATAGCTTCTTATCATAATACAGAAGGCCCTCATTTATCCAGAAACCAAGCAATTAGAAAGCTCAAATAGTCATAGTATTGACTCTTGATGTATAAAAGTAAAACAAACAAACTTGAACCTACTATAAAACCCAGACCAAACAAAAGTTATATACACCATCTCAATAGAGTTCGCGTGTTAATATATTTTTACCGTATTGATTGTTTGCGAAAATTGGGAATACATACAGCATTTATGGAAACTCTTAGGTAACCAGAGTATCTGAGTAACTGTAACACCTCATTCCCCCCCATCATTCTGGATAAATGGGATTCATTCATTTGCAAAACACATCAAGCATCAAATATACTATATATTTGGTGATGGTGGGTTAGGTGAGGAGGGGAAATCAAAGTACCCACGAAGGAGTACTGAGCAGAGCCCCAGGCCAGCTCTTCAAAGGCACTGCTACCCAACGCTCTGGTTCTCAGCTTGGCGGGAAACCCCAAGCCCTGAGGAACTGGGACAGAGGTTGGCATGGGGTTGGGGGGCCACAGAGATTCCTGGGGCCACAGCAGGGATCTGCCTTCCTTGCATGGACTCCAGAATCCAGTTTTCACATCACCTTGTGGTTCAGGAGAAAACAGATTGAAATCCTCAGAGGAGGGAGTTCTAAGTTCCCTGGGTCAGCTCACACCCTTCTCCAACCCCTAAATCGCTCAGGAGGGCACTGGCCGACATCTGGGCCTCCTCCTTTCTCCTGTAAGAAAGGAGGGATTATGGCCTTCCAAACAATGTCATCTCAAGGGCAAAAACAACTTTCTCAGGAGCACTGAGGCACATCACGGGCATTCTAGAACAGTGGTTCCCAACCAAGAGCCCTCAATTTCCTCACAGGCAGAGACTTTCTCTAGCTAGTCCTGAAGTTCAGAAGAAAATCTACAGGCCACAGAGCAAAACGACAACTCTCTCTTCCCTTTTGTCTAGACTTGTATCCGCTCACTGAGGCAGATGACCATCTCAGGTGAAAAGCAGCTCTGCCCTACAGGTATGAGTTTAGTGCATTAAAATGATAAGATAAAGGATTATGGTCGCTTAATTAATAGGGTCTCCACGAATTACAGAAGACCTGCAAACTGGGGTCCATGCAGGAAACCTGAAAGTTCTGGATGGAGACAAGGTTGGGAACCACAGATCTAGATAGCAGAGGTCTTAGAACATGTCAAGGCCTCCATCAGCACTGGCCCAAGACAAAGGCTCCACAGAAAGCATCTAGTTTCCCTGTTGGGGAGTTACTGCCATGGAAGAACACCCTCTCGGTCCTCACACCCACTCTCCATCCCCTGGGTGTCCACTCTCTTAATCATCTGGGATCACTTACATATTACTCATAGCATCTGCTAGTGGGCATCTGACCTCCAGCCACTGTGCTCCCCAAATTCGACCTGTGAACTTCAGCAGAAAGGACATCTGCTGTAGGGGGATACCTCCTTGGAGATTTTCCCTCATTAAACAGAAGAAAACCTCTCAAATGGACATTTGGGCAAGACTCCACAGTTGCCTCTACAAAACAAAACGTGCCTTTGGATGTTCTATGCTGACTTATTCCCTAGATGTTTGTTCAGCTACAGAAGAGCTGACTATAAGTGTGAAAACTTACTTACTCAAAAGAAAAGCCATCTAGTCTAAAAAGAAAAGTACTATTTAATATAAGAGGAACACACTAATTTAAATAGTGTTTAAGGACAACGTCACTGTTCCTATACTGTTTCCAGAGATGACCTCTACTTATTCACTCCACAAACGTTAAGTAAGCCATTGATGTCCTCCTAGGGAGAGGCCTTCAAGCAAAGCTCTTTTTGAAACCACTGAGGTTACGTCCAGGGACTTGGCCATCTTGCTCAAAAGAGCAAAGGAAAAGGAAGAAAGGGGTAAAATGTGGATCCTGGCTTTAAGGCTATTCTTTTTCCCTCGATGTGGAACAATCTGGGGACAGGAGCAGGGAGTAAACACCTCAGCAGTACTGGAAGCTCCCTCCTGCTTGCAATCCAGGGGGAAGATAAAGGGCAAAATCAACTACTGTGTGGCCACCTGGAGTTGGATCTTTCATTCCCATCCCTTTTCACAGAGAGGATCCCTTCTTCCAGGAGGGACAGTAGAGGCCCTAGATGTTCATGCCTGTGAGCCGACACCAAGTTTAGCCAGAGGAAGACGAGCCCAAAGGCCTTACTGGTAGTCCGTGGAGCTGCCCTTGCGTTTCCGGTTGCAATCCATGCCACCGGTGCCCAGGGGGCTGGAGAGGAGGTCGGTGGCACCTGGGGACATGAAGTCGCTGATAGTTGAAGAAATGTCCATTCTCTGTTCGGCCATTGGAGTCTGGAATAGGTACAAGGAGGCACAGAGGCACGTTTATTTCTACGTGCTCTTCTAAGGTGGAGGACGACCAGGGTGGCTCTGTGGAGGGAAAGGGACTTGATTACAGCACCAACATCTCTCTCGCCCAGCCAACTGGAACAGGACCAGGTAGAACTGGAAGGGGCATCGTATTTACTCTAGGAGTTACTATAGGTAATTTAGGCTCACCCACTCGTTTTTCTTGTAGACACAAAGCTCAGAGAAACTGGGTGGCTTCTCCTAGATCCCCGTGCCAGGGCATGGAAGAACTAAACCAGAACCCAAGGCTCTAGAAGTTACAGCCCTGTGCTCCTCCCACGGAGGGGACCAAGTGTCCCAGATGTTCTGACAGTCCTAAATTAATCTTCTTCTAATCAAATCTAATCAATGAAATAAATATGATCTACTTGTTATCTTTGTATTTTTAAAAATTTATTATTTTATTTATTTTTGGCTGTGTTGGGTCTTCGTTGCTGTGCGCAGGCTTTTTCTAGTTGTGGTGAGCGGGGGCTACTCTTCGCTGTCGTGCGCGGGCTTCTGAACGCGGTGGCTTCTCTTGTTGCGGAACACGGGCTATAGGCGTGCGGGCTTCAGTAGTTGTGGCACGTGGGCTCAGTAGTTGTAGCGCACGGGCTTAGTTGCTCCGCGGCATGTGGGATCTTCCCAGACCAGGGCTCGAACCCGTGTCTCCTGCATTGGCAGGCGGATTCTTAACCACTGCGCCACCAGGGAAGCCCTATCTTTGTATTTTTATTACAATTTTTTATCAAAGTTGTAGGAAAGCAGAAAATATCCTTTCTCAGCCTGTAAGTCCCACTTGGGAGTCAGGAAAAAGTGGTCCCTCTCCATCACTGGCCCAGGCAAAGTCTGTCCTGTCCTCCCAAACTGTCCTTTTGTACTCAGGATTCCACTGCAAGGAAAACCTAGCATAATGAAGTGAAGACGCTGCAAACACTTGCAAAACATTTTGAGAATTCATATCTTAAAAGCGCAAAGTGAGTCGGCCCAAAGGAGAGGCTGGCAAGTACCTTGCAAGGGACTCCAACTGCAAACCCAGTTGAAGGTGGCCGTGCAGTGCCCGCTGTCGGGGTCCAGCTCCAAGTGACGTGACTGGGGCTGTCACTCCCACTCTCTGGGCCCGAGTTTCCTCATCTGCAAAGTGAGAGGCAAGGGTGAGCTCTTGTTTTCACTGTCACTATTGCGCCCACACATTAGAGACCTGAGCCCTCCTGGTTAGGCGTGTGCTGTGTTTTCAGTCTCACGACCATTGCTGGAGTGAACATCTTTGTGTGCGTAGCTCTGCACATTTGAGCTATTATCTCTAAAAGTCAGACTGACAGGTCTAAAGGGGACACACATTGTATGTTTTGGTAAATACTGAAACACTGTGCTCCAGAAAAGAACCAACAACTTACATCCCCAATAAGAGCTCTTGTCAATCTGAAAGAAAAAAACGAAACCTCACTGTTTTTACTTGTAATTTAAAATTATTACGGATGGTGTTCCTACGTTTATATGGGCATTTCTTGGTTTTCCTTTGTGCCCACTCATGTCCTATTTTCTTACCATATTGTCTTTAGGATCGATGGGCCTCCTAACTCATGCTCACCTGGGCACCTGAACTGGTGGGAGAAAAGCATGCAACGATCCTTGACTCTTCTGCTCCATTTATTCTCCCACTCTGCTACCATACTTGCTCTTTCCTCCTCAAACCTCCAACATCTCCCCAGTCCTCATGCTTAGCTGATACTTCACTAAGAGGCCAGCGACCACTTCTACCAGCTGTCTAGATGCTGCAGGCTAGGACCCCAGCCCCAAAGCATGCTGACGCCATCCTCTCTTACTAGTCCAGACCATCCGCCCCAATCCTGCATCATCCACTTCCCCCACTCTAAAGCATCACTCCCATTAGGATAAGAACACACTCAACTCTCATCTTGGGGGGGAGAAAAACACAACTTATTTGAACTCCACTCCCTTCCAGTTACTGCCCCAATTCTTTGTTTCCAATTGCTTTCCTCTTCCCTCGCTATAACTCAACTCAAATCAGGCTTTTGTCCCCATCATCCCACTACAACAGCCCCTGTTGGGTTCACTAGTGACCTCCTCATTGCTAAATCCAACAGCAAGTTCTCCATTCCCTCCCTACTCGTCCCATCAGCACATCTAATAGAGTTGATCTCTCCCTCCTCCCTGTCTCTCAGCTTCATGGTTCTCCTACTTCAGTGGCCACTCCTCTTTGGTCTCTTCAGCTGGTTCCTCTCGTCTCCTCGCCTCTAGCTGTCCTCGGCCCTCCTCTGTCTATACTTACTCCCTAGGAGATTTGTCTAGTTTCACTGCTTCAAATACTATCCATGCTATGACAACTCCCATATTTACATCTCCAGCCCAGATCTCTCCCCAAATTCCAAACCTGTATAACCAACCATCACCCTGACATCTCCCTTTGAATATACAACAGAAACATGAAACATCCATAACCAATCCCTGGTTCTCCCCAAGCCAAGCCTCTTGGTCATGCCCAGGTCAGTAAGTGGTACTTCAATCCTGCTTGCTGCTCAGGCCCCAAACCTAGAAGTCACCCCTGACTCCTTTCTTTCCTTCACAACCTGCATCTAATCCATCAGCAAATCTTATCAGCTCAAGATTAAAAAAACATCCAAAATTCAACCACTTCTCCCCTTTTTCTTTCATATTTCTGCTCAGATGAAACTTCATCAGTGAAGCTTCCCTGAAGAGCCATATAATATGACCTCCCCACCAACTCTTCCTAACCACCCCAGGCCTGCTTAATTTTTTCCCATCGCCCGTATCAGCATTTGGCCTGCAATAATCTACTTAATTTACTGGCTGTCCTCTCCATTAGACTATAAGCATCAGAAAAGCAGGGACTTTGGTTTACTGCTTGCACCCTTAGTGCCTAGAACACTTTCTAGCACACAGTAAGCACTCAATAAATGCATGTTGAATGAATAAATTTGTATATGCTCATTATAGATGTCGTAAATACTTCCCCCCACTCTTGCCTTTTAACTTTGCTTATGGTATTTATATATGATACTAAAAGTGACATGTTTTAAAAACCCTGTCACCCCAAAATAATAAAAACATTCTCTTCTTTGCTGATGTTTTTATAATTTTTTTTAAAAAAATTAGTTCTTTAATCCACTTGGAAATTATTTTTGGTACACGACCTAAGGTTGGGAATTTCTTATTTCTCTCCAAAGAATAGACAGTTGTCCCAACACCACTCACTAGACCATGTGTCCTGTTACCTGTCACTTGAAATGCCATCTTTATTGATTCGTTTTCTATTTCTGGACTTTCTCTTCTTTTCCTTTGATCTGCTTATTCCCATTCTGGTACCACACTATTTATGATTGTGGCTTTATAATACATTTTAATATCTGGTAGAACAATTCCTTTCCTGCTTCTTACTCTTCATTTTAGAAATTTCCTGGCTAGTCTGATGTATTCTTCAAGGAGTATTTTATAATCATTTAATCACATTAAAGGCCCTGCTGCAGCTGTAGCTTTTGTTGTTATTATTATCATTATTACTGACATTAAGAGAAGTAGGCCAGCAGTGAGCACAGACCTCAGGGTCTCGGTGACCCTTTGGGTGTCAGACCTGTGGTGCCCCCTCTAGCCCCCACTCCTCTTTTTGAACAGCCATACATTTGCATGAGGTGGAAAATTTCAAGTTTCAGGGCTCCTGGAAGAAACCACACTTCCTGAGGGAAGGACTACCATCCGAGCTGCCAATGATAGTCACTCTAGGCAAGGGTGGGTGGGATAGGATTGTTACCTGAAGTTACGGTTCTTAAACCCCAGATCCACCTTGGGAGAAGCAAGGGGCCACTGGACTTGTTGGTCACCTCAAAGCAATTTTCATGTTTTGTCGCTTCCTTTCAGGCAGTCAACTTCTTCCAGAAACCTACAGTGGGGCCCACAGGAAAAGAAATCCCAAACAGGTCAATTTGGAGTAAACGAAAAGTCTCATAGCAGCTGAGGAAGATGGGGAACTTGCTCATGACTCCTGATTACAGGGAGCAATGCTGAGCTGACCGTCCCGTCCTTCAACTGCCTGTTAAACTCAACTGCAAACACATGAGGAAGTCTGCCAGGAGATATTTTCTGTGAAAAACAATGCCTTTTAAATTACTAAACGTAAATTCTTGGACACGGCCTTAAGAGGAAGAAGATAATTATATTTTTCATTTCTCCTACTGGGTCAAGCAATAATAACAGTGAACAGTGACTGAGCGTGTACTTGGCGTCAGGCGCTGTTCTTACTGCACCATGTAGATTAACTCACTCAGACCTGAAAATAACTCTGAGGTAAATACTGTTGTTTCCACATTTTACCAAGAAGATCGAGGCAGAGAGAGGTGAAGAAACCAGCCGAGGTCACATAGCAGGAGAGCAGTGGGGCTCCAGGAGCTACACCTGCGAATAACGACACCACTCAACTCTCTCTCCAGCCAGGTGAGTTACCTAAACGCACACAACGAGGAACCACAGAAAACAAGTCTTCAGAAAACATTAAGCCAAGACGAAATGCCAGCAGGGCCAATACCTGAAACCGCTGGGAGTGAGCTCAGACGCTGAAAGAAAATGTCCCTGAACTCAAGTACATGTGGTAGAGAAATCAGTTCTGAAAAGCTGCTCATGTTAAACTAAAGTGGGGGGAGAGTTTGCTGCCCTGCCCACCTCCTGCTGGCAGGATACAGGGGTCTCCTCTCTGGCCCTGCGACCCCTGTGGAAGGAACAGGCTCTGAAGGAAGAAATGGGCTGCACCTGCCTCACTGCTCCCTACCTGCTCCACCTTGAGACGGAAAGACTTTTTTTTTTTTTTTTCGATATGTGGGCCTCTCACTGTTGTGGCCTCTCCCGTTGCGGAGCACAGGCTCCGGATGCGCAGCCCAGCGGCCATGGCTTACGGGCCCAGCTGCTCCGCGGCATGTGGGATCTTCCCGGACCGGGGCACGAACCCGTGTCCCCTGCATCGGCAGGCGGACTCTCAACCACTGCGCCACCAGGGAAGCCCCGGAAAGACATTTTAAATGGGGCCTTCCTGACCTTCTTGAAGCACAAATTCTGGCGCTTCACATTCCACTGGCTAATTCTTGCATCTTCAATGACTTGCTTTTGTCTTGATCATTATAAAGGTCTTCAAATGAATATCCAGGGATAGAACAGACCGCGTCCTCCCGATTTATTCTTCCTTGCAGTCTGGTTCAGAAACCCTCACTGTCTGACACAGGTAACCCTGTCTGGGCAAGTGCAAACGATGTGACCAGGAATTCTGGACTCCCAGTCCCTAAGCCTCGATGGATAAGCAGCAGGGATGCAAAGTCCCCAGGGCAGGGCTGCTTGGGAGAGGCTCAACACACACGATCCCATCTAAATCTGATTCCCCATCCAGGTCCCACACTATCCTGCCAGCCCCCAAATTCGCAACCCAGGATCCACCCTGGGCGACCTCCCTTCTCCTTCTAACAGCCCCAGAGCCCACACTTGGCCCTTGGATGCGTGGGTCCAGCCACTTCATCCATCCTTTATTCATCGCCTCCATCCAGGCTGCTCCCCTCTCCAGTCTCGTCCCCTCCTCACCGTGGTCAGAGGTAGGACACCCCCTTGCTTAAAATACTTCAGTGGCTTCATTGCTCTCCCCAAGCCTTCCAGATAAAACCCCAAACACCCCTAGCAGGATACACCAGGCCTCCGCAAAGGATGTGCTCGCTCTCCAGCCCGACAGCTCATCTGCTACCCAAGGCGCCAGGCTGCTGAAATACTTAAGTTCCCAAGAGCACGCAGCCGAGAGCACGAGGCCTCAGCTGTGCCCACTTTGTTTTACAGGTGTGGCTCCCTTTACCCACTCGGTCACCGGGTGAACGCCTGCGTGCCTTTCAAGTGCCCTCAGGTGTACCCTCAGAGAAGCCTCCCGCTCTCCCGGGCTGCCCCGCCCCTTCCCCTCGCCCGCAGCGGCCTGCCTAGACCCCGCCCAGCCCCGCCAGCTGCGCCTGGATCTCACGGCTCAGCATCTCCCAGCACCATGCCTTGCATTTTCTTTCCCCCACTTCCCTGAAATTTAGATAAAGGTTCTCCGTACCAAACTCCATACGAAATTTCTTATTTTGATCATTTTTTTCCAGCACTCATGTTTACTTTATAGAAATAATAAATGCTAACATAGATTTTTGGCACTGTATTTTGCAAAACAAAAACCATGTTTCTTATCTGCTTGGACAAGGTAAGGAAGCTGAATCAGCTGTGACAGTTATTTTTCGGAAAACTGTTTTCTCTCCAGGAAGGTGTTCTTAGATGTAAGACAATAAATGGAACAACGAAAGAAAAAGGACAAAAAACGTCTTCTGTGCTAACTACTTCCAGAAGAGATTTGAGCCAAGAGAGGGGGCTCCAAGAGGCCAAAGTTACCTGGGAGAGGGATCCTTGCTGACTGGGGGCTCAGGGCTGGCCCTGGTGCTGCCCTCCAAGTGACACATAGCGAGGGCGCTCTTGGGAGAGCCTGGCCATCGTCCTGGAGTCAGGGGTCACACGTGTGCCCACTTCTGACCTAGAGATTTCCGAAGGTGGGAGGGAGGCTCTCTGGGTGGCCAGAGAAGGCCAGGCATGAAGGGACCTGGGACGTGTACCTGGCAAGAGCTTGGGGGCACCCTCTGTCCCACCTCAGTCCCCTTGTGCTCCTCGGGGCATAGGGAGAAGATTCTCTGGGGCTCCACACAAAGGAGCAAGGGTGCTAGCAGAGGTGAGCCTGTCAGCCACTATTAGGTGCCAAAAGGAGACAGCTGGTACTCGGAGCAGAGTGGGGCAAGGCTGAAGCGCCCCTAAAGAAACCCACACACACCATCCACAAGAAGATGGCCACAGGGTGCCCTCCAGTTGTGGACCAGGCATCTCTGGGCTTTCCCTCCTCCCTGCCCCAGCACCCCAGAATGACAAGTAGAGAAAGGGGAGCGTGTGGATTGTATCAAGGTTCACACCATTAGCTGCTCCTCTGTGTGGGAAGTCGGCAGGCTGCCTCATGCCAGGCCTGGCCAAGTGACTCGCCCTGATGGATGAATGTGAGTGGAAGGGACAGTGGCAACCTTCAAACTGACCTTTACTGCGTGTCCCCCTGTTTGTGCCGAGACCAGAGATTCCTGGATAGAGGCTCCTCCTTTAGCCAAGACCCTGTATGGATGCAGCATGAACAAGAAGTGAACCTTGGCCATTGTAAGCCCCTGAGATGTTGAGGTTGCTTAATACCAGGGTGACTGGCTCTTCTGTTTGCCTCTGACCTTCCTGATTTAGCACTGAAAGTCCTGCATCCCCGGAAACCCCTTGGTCCCCTAGTTGACACAGGCAGGAAGAAGGAAATAGACTCTGATCCTGGAGCCACAGACCAAGCCTGACCTGGGAGGAGGGAGAGGCAATAGTGGCGGTCACACTGGTGGAGTTTAATCTTCACAGTAACCTATCTGTTAATTATGGTGATTATCCCAAATTTCCAGGTAAGGAACTAAGCACTGAAGAGGCAAAGACATCTTGCTTAGCAAGTGGGGACTGAAACCCACATGTGTCTGGCTCACTGGTGGTGGTTCTTTCTTCTGCTACACCACTGCCCATCCTGCCCCCAAAGCCACCCCTACAAAGGAAAATACAAATGCCCCCAAAACAAGCACTCCTGAGGAAGGAATCAGGGAAATGTGAGGGGAAGCAATCCTGGTTCAGGAAAGCTACAGAAACTGAAGTAAGAAGTTGTCTCTGGGCTTCCTGGAAGCCAGGGCAGAGAGGGAAATGCTCCTCTTACTTTATTAGGGTTAGCAGGGAGAGGTATCTGTCCAAGAGACTTGCTGGTTTTTTTTTTTTTGGCCACTCCAGGCGGCTTGCGGGATCTTAGTTCCCCGACCAGGGATTGAACCTGGGCCCCGGCAGTGAAAGCACTGAGTCCTAACCACTGGACCACCAGGAAGTCCCCGGGAGACTCTTTCTATGTGACCTGAGCAACGCTGTGCCGAATGGCTCTGGCTCTGGGGAAACAAGCTTTGTGAAAGGACAGAGGGCTTCTCCCTTTATAAAATAGGACCCTGGTAAAAGCATGTTTCCCCTCCTGCTCCCACCTGCAGGTGTAACAGCTGGATGGAGCTCTACTGAGACCACTTTGTGAAGCCTCAGGACGTCACTGGGGTAATGGCTTTGGATGATGTTTAATAAAAGGGCGCAGCTTAGGAAAATATGGACGATAGTGAATCAACACCCTTGCTTACCCATGTCTAGTAGCTACATGCTCACCGATCTACTTTGCCACAAAACCCCTAGCTGCCTGCAAGGACCCCTGTGTGGCCACCTCTGCATCCCCACCACCTTCAAGGCGCTGGCCCTGGACACAGCATCTGCTCCAAAGTACTGTCCTTCCCCCATGCAGAGGAGCAGGGCAGCTGGCCCCAGTTCCATTCTCCATGTTCTCACCTCCAGGTTTAATGAGGGGATGAATGTGGAGTTGCTCTGGTCTGTTCAGATGGTGGTGACCTTTGAGCAGAGGTGAGAGACTGAAGGGTCCCTGTCCCCTCTGCAAGTCCTCCTGATCCTCTGGTTACTCTGAAGGTTTGTGGGGAGTTTGGTTGCCTCGCTTTGCAACAGACGGATTTAGAGAACATTCATCCATGAGACCAGGTGCCTCGACCCTAAGGTAACCAGGGTTTGCACCACGATCAATCAGCAAGCATTTCTTTAGCCCTAGTGGAAGCCAGGGCACTGGGGACACAGCGGGGTATGTTTAAGATCCCCTCAATCCTGATCACTGCAATAGGCAGGGCCGTGCCTGCAGCTGTGCAAGCAGTGCACTGCCCCATGTCAGTGTACCTGCGCCTCTGTTAGGTGGCAGAGATTTGTAGAGCCATTACTACAAATTTCCAGCAGGTGGCAGTCAAG